CCTGGACCGTCCAGATGGACGGTTCAGCCTCAATCGGCGGGCGGCAGCTTCAAGAGCGCCGCCAGGCCCAAACGAAGTGTCGTTTGGGCCTACCCGATGGGTGCTGGTCCAAAATCAGGCCTTTAGGGGCTGTAACCCCAAAAGGTCGGGCCTTTAGGCCCTGGTGTGTCCCTCCGGCCCTAAGTCGGGTCCGGTAGGACCCGTGTGAGTCGAAGATGTAACATTCCTCCATTCTCTCCATTCCCTTATCTACCCCTTTACCCTAATCTGCCCCCGCTGGGATTTTGTGCCCAGCCCCAGAAAAGAGTATTCCTCACCATCTGCCCTCACCCCCTCCAAGGTTTCACCACCCGCCTAATGAAACCCCTGCAAGGCAGGGGTCTCCCTCTCCCCCTCACCAAAATGTCATACACTTGGGTTTTGTTGATGACGAAGAACAGCACCTGAAGATAGTAATAATGAGTATGGTGATGACTACCCAGTCACCTGCTGATGCGAAAGGCGAACGATGTCTTAAAGAACAAATTCTAATGATAACAAACTGTTACTGATGATAATAAACATCATCATAATAATGATAATGATGCTGTTGATGTCGATATTGATGATGATGATGATGATGATGTTGAAGATGATGATGATGATGATGATGATGATGAAGACACACCAATGATGATGCTCATACTGATGATGATAATGATGATGATGATGTCAGTAATGCTGCTGCTGATGATGAAGATGATGATGATGATGATGATGAAGATGATGAAGATGTTGATGATGATGATAATGATGAAGATGTTGATGATGATGATGACGCACAAATGAAGATGCTCATAATGATGATGGTGATGTGCTACTGCTGCTGCTGATGATGATGACACATTAGTTGAAAAGCGCGCCAGCCTCCATACTGATGATGATAATGATAACGATGATGATGATGACGATAATGATGAAGATGAATGATGAGGACAATGGTGATAATGATAACCGCCGATGATGATGATGATGATGATGATGATGATGACAGCGCTGATAAAACCAATGATGGTGATGACGATGATGACAGCGCTGAGATGATGACGGGCGGCTCTCAATGATGAAAAAGCAATCTGATGATCCGCGTCCCGTTCTGCTGATATTTATGTACCTCCAGCCTTGCGTACGTATGATGCAGAAGCTGGTGATGATCATGATGATCTCAATGACCTTTTCTTGACAACCTTTCTGTTGATTGAAGCCGCCTCCGTGTGCACCAAACCACAACCAACTTTCAATTGCTCATCTCTTTTCAGGAATGTTGTATGTCCGTGTTTCCCCCTTGACATCGCGCTCAAACTTTTCTTCCCTGCGACTCTCCTGCTTTTATGTCGGACTAGATAAGACTGAGAGTAGAATCCCTCTCGCCTCCCTCCAGAACTCGCTCATAGGCGAACCCGCCTTCCACACCATGAACCCGTCATGGCTGTGTCCGGCGTCCCACACATCACGAAGAGATAACATCAAACACCCCCCCTTCCACTCCCTCTCATGACGTATTCCACCCCCTATTCTCTGGGCAGTGCGCGCAGTTTCACCCGAAGCATTGCTCACGCGCGATGGCACGGACGCTGCTTGCTTCGATGCGTTCCCTCCTCGCGCTTGCATTCGATGCGAAGTCTCGGCGTGAGTGTCGGTGCCCGGGCGCAGCGCTACCAGGAGCGCTGTGCCCGAACCCTGGTAGCGTCCAGGATGGGCCACTGCGACTCGGCCTCAGCCCACTTTGACTTCGGGCATCTGCAGACCACCTCGCACAAGACACTAGGGCAGTGCTTCCGCATGGATCACGCAGAATGAATGAATGGCTGGACGCTGCCTCTTGATTTATGCTTCTGTTGGTCGCTGGTCTGCCCCTTTTCCACCGGGCCCAGGGTGCACACAGTCCCACATGGTACTTGCTGACTGGACAAAGTGAGACTGGGACTGGGTACCGCTGACTAAGCAAAGTTGGACTACCCTCTTGCCCACTTGCCTCTGGTCTAACGTGAGTAACACTCGAAAGGCCATTTCCGGACCTTCCGGAAGTCTGTGGACTTGGCCTTTCGGGACTGTAGCAGCTACGGCTTTGACCTTTCAGGACTGTAGCAGCTACGACTTGACCTTTCAGAGTTGCAACTACTATGACCCCTACACAGGTATGACCCCTACTTCGACAGTTCTACAGTTCAAGACCCGACAGTTACACAGACTTATGACAGACTACATTCAGCTACCCAAACACAGGTCACAGGTTCAAAACACACAGGGTCGACTTAATACTGTACACGGGTGAGGTAAGGTCTAGGGATTGAACCCTGGGATCTGCGTCCGTCACTGCAAAGGTGAAAACCGTTTCAACTGCCCCAGACCCTATTTTGCCCAAGCAAAAAGTTCCCGCTTCCCAAGAATTGAACAGTCGCCTGTATCCTATAGGCGGGTACAGTGAAAGAATGGCCTCCCCATGCACGGCTGCAATCTCCAGAGGAAGGTTACCTATAGACATTGTTTATTGCTATTATAATAGGCTGTTTTGAACCGGAAAGAGTGCTTCTGGGGATTGTCACACATAGACCATCCTTACCCAATTGCTTGTCCTTCTTGGCTTTTGAAGTAGAAGGGGGGAAAAGTCTAAAGTTTTGTTGAAATCGTTTGTACTCCTTGGCTTTTGAAGTGTATAATTCACAAGGGCACTTCATTGGAGTGGCTGCGATGGATGTTCGCCCGCAAAACAACAGCAGACGTTTTGCGGAATTGGCAGAGACACAGAACTCAGCGGTGAAACCATTCATATCATCCAGTCTGAAGGTATGTAAAAAGTTAAATTAACTGCTTAAATTTTCCTGCACAGCTGGTATGATATTTTTTTGTCTCCTTTTGGGTCCCTTTATGCTTGTTCTGGGTTGGGGTGGAGTCAGTAGGTGAAAGAGTTAAGACACCGATTCAACCAAAGCAGAAGCGGTGTCTTTCTGGGAGAAGCGGCAAGACACTTCCGCCTTAGAGAATGGGCTGGTAGTGCCCTGTGTGAGGGATCTTAAAACGGCGCACGTGGGCAGTGCGGGATGGCGGCTAAGGATCTCCTAGCTGTCAAGGTGTCCTTCCTGACTGGGGAAATAGAACAGGGGCAATATGAAAACACAATGGGAAACAATTTCAAACAAACAAACAAAAGGAGGACCAAAATCAAGAACCAAAAAAAAAAGAAAACACATGCATTGACAAACAAACAAAAGGAGGACCAAAATCAAGAACCAAAAAAAAAAGAAAACACATGCATTGGGAGTGGGAGGCCCAGCGTGGTGAATGGCTGTTGGCTCAGTGGTTAGAGCACCAGTTGGAAATGCGCATTGTGGTATGAGGTTGTAGGTTCAAAACTCCATTGCCTCGCGCACGTACACCAGTTAGCGCTTTCATAACGCACAAGCCATTCATCCCCCCCCCCGCCCCCCCCCCTCCTCCCCTCTCTCGGACGACGCTTGGTAAGATTTATACAGACACCTCCTGCGCACCGCCCAAGGGGACTAGGTCCATGGTTGTAGTATGCTGGATAGGACCATTGGGAGGCCTGCTTGAGTGCTTAGTCTTAGGGGTTCTGAGGATCAGGGTCTTATCTTGGCTCCACCATTTGGGGCGGGGGGGTAGGATAGGTTAGGGTAGCCCAAGGGGACTAGGTCCATGGTTGTAGTATGTTGGATAGGACCATAGGGAGGGCTGCTTGAGTGCTAAGTCTTAGGGGGTCTGAAGATCAGGGTCTTATCTTGGCTCCACCATTTGGGGGCGGGGGGGGGGGGGGGGGGGGGGGTTAGGGTAGATTAAAGGGGGAGGGTTTAATGCCTAGACTGTCGATAACCGAAAAACTGCCTAGACTGTCGATAACCAAAAAACTGCCAAAACTGTTGAAACCGTCGATGCCTCAGCGTAGCCATTTGGACCCTCCGATCTGTCAGTCTCACCAGTATGTACTAGTCCGTGGGGGTGCCATGGTCGAGCCTGGGTACAGCTACCATGTTTCCCATCACTATGGCACCTGTACGAGAGTCCACACGGAGCAAACTTAGACTACAGTAGGGCCCATCTCGGGGGGGATAATCCTATGCACACACTGGGTGTTAGTATGGGGTAGGTACTGCAGTGGGTACTTCTCATCCCACAGGTATCTCACGATGCCTGCATGTGGTGCTTCATCCAGGTTGGGGTCCATGGGAATTCTCATTGGGGGAATTAGTCAGGACTGTGGAATCTTGGGGAGCCTGGGGTAGGAGGCATCATGCTTGAGGATAGGGGAGGGCGGATATCGCATCTTAGTGGAAGGGAAGTTTGCTGCCCATAGAGTCTGCGGGATGAGGCACATATTGGGGATGACTGCGTATGCATGGACGCCACCTGTGACATTAGAGTTAGGGTAGTGTCTGCACAATCACAACTTGCGATCTGTGCATTAGTGTAGGTCATCATACAATGGTGTCATAATGAGATGACTCGCCCTGGGTCCTCACAATCCCTCTGACCTCCCAATGGATGAGTTCTACAGGCACCTCCTGAGGCCTGGCCACCACCCTCTGCTACACCCTGGACCTTTCCGTTAAAAAAAAAAAAAAAAAAAAAAAAAACAGCACGTGTTCAACCACTATGTGAATAAACAAAAACGAACAGAATGCCCTGTCATTATCGCTGTGTCTAGAGTCTAGACTGCAAGTTTGGCCAAATGCGGACGTAATGACAAGGCTTTCTGTTCAGGTAGAGACATCTGTGAAACAAATCAAAAGGGGAAAAAGGAGAGCATATTTCTACCTTCTGTGGAAAGGTGCACACATTTTTGATACGACTACGAGCACAGCTGTGGACTAGCTGAAAAAAAGAAATGAGAGAAAACATCAAAGAAAATGCCACGCCCTTGCACAGGGGCCATGCTAATCTTCTCTGTGTCGTTCCAGTGTTAATGGCTATCATATCCAAGGGAGGCAGCAGGTATGTAAATTACCCAATCCTGACATAGGGAGGTATTTACAATAAATAGCAATACTGGGGTCACTTAAACCACCAGTAAATGGCCGCAGGCAACTGGAGCACCTGTTTTGAGCCTCTGCGAAAAGTTAGGAGGCCGAGCGTTGTAGAAAAAATGAATCGGCGGTGGGCGGCCTCCGAAAGGGGCCCGCGGCCGAAAGCTGGCATGTACTGGTGCTTTGAGTCCGGTGACAGTAATAAGAACAGTCATAAACGAAAAAAGAGGCCACATGCTCCCACACTCTGTACCAGGTACAGAACAATGTGCCCCATAGGCTGGCACCCTGAAGCAGTACTGGCACGCTTCACTGTTTTGTGATCCGTCATACAGACACAGTTAGGGTCCGAGGGCAGCCTCGTGCGTGAGCTGGTGGTTTAATATGCCCATACAGGAAGGGGTTCTACTTCATCCCGATATGGAGACGCTGATAAATCTGAAATCAACCGTGAGAAGGATGGCTGGATAGGTTCCTTTTTGTGTGGTAAAAGAAAAAATGCAGGGAAAATGAGCAACGGCGAAATCACAGATTTCAGATTGGACAGCCAAATTGAAAGCCAGGAAGTCCAACACTGTCCAGAAAGCAGAATTGCACCAATATTACACCAATGGAGAACCAGCACACTGAATCCGAGTGTCAATGAGAGCATACTCTTGCCATCACCAACATAAGTATCCAGAGCCTTCTCTCCTACTTGGCGCTCAGCACCCACAGTACGATCACGCGGTTACTACCAGACTAAGAATTGACAATGCAACTGTTGACGTCAACAGCAGAACCGAAGTACTTGAAGATGTCAACCCTTGTAGAATATAGTCATGACCAGGTGCGTGCCCTCACATCATCATCCTCATCTCTCCTCCCTCATCTTCTCTACCCATGTCTTCTCCCCCAGGCACGAAGGCCACCACTACCCCTTGCTGTACAACCAAGCACCAGCCAGCTATGGAAGCTGGGGTATGGCGCTGCCCTCAGCAGCGCCTTTCCTCTGCACGACTGCACGTGAGCGGACAACTTGCCCTGGGCTAGTAGCAGCCCGCGAGCGCTTGCTCCAGCAGCACTGCTGCAAACTTGCAAGTGCCTGAATGCTGTGCCTGGCACCCGGCCCTTCCCTATATGGAAAGTGGCGGGCGCTTTTCCTTGCCCCCATCACATGAGACCGAGTTTCCAGTAGCTTCAGTCTCGACCCAAGTGTCTGCGCCCAGGCCCGTTCAGACAGTGGCCTGGGACCAAATTAGTTAGGCATGCCCAACCACCCAGGCACGAACGTGCGATGTCCCCTGCTTTGGCCACGTTTAGAATGACCTGGAAGGCTCTCAAATATTTCCCATTCTCACGTGCAGGGCGGATGTAACCAACCGGCGTGTGGCAACTGTCTGGCGCCGACCAAGGTTTGCAAAAATTGACGAGTTCAGAGGCCTGCCTTCACTTGGGCGGGCACGTGCCTGATGGGGGGCCTTATACGGTTATGCCGAGGGATCAAACCCTTACACTCCCTCCTCCTTTTACTTCGATAGTCTAAGAAATCGTTACACTTCCCTTTCAAATTTCGTTCATAGCTTGTGATGACTTGGGGAGCAGTCTTCATCAAGTCCTCTCCGGTGAACCTTCTTTAGGAAATTAGGATCCTTGTGATGTCTGAAACGTGCTCGATACTGCCTCTGCGGTTTCGGAGGGCGTCCCCTGCCTGGAGGCTTCGGTACCGGCATCAGCTTGTGCTCAACGATGTCGTAAATGTCCACATATCCGTCCATGGTTGGGGGCAGCATCGGTCTCCTGGAGGGGAACTGATCAGTGACAGAGAAAGGTGCCAACTTTGATGCATGGAAGACAGGGTGGATGCGTAAGTGTCCAGGGACGAAAATGACATATGATGGCCCATCTGGTTGATCTCCCACTATATCAAGAATTTCCCAGGGGCCAAAGTACTGTGGCATCAGTTCACGTGAGATTCTTAATTCCTGCCCCAACTCAGATGACTTTACCCAGACTCGTTCACCTACCTGAAACTCAGATGGTCGTCTGTGTTTGTTCTCAGATAAAACCATGGCTTCCTTGACGTGCTCTACAGCCTGCTGTAGCATCTGTTCATACTTGACAACAAACTCTATGCTGCCAGGGGCTGCAGTTGGCTGATTTTCAGGCAACAAGAAGTCTAATGCAGATCTGGGCTTCCAACCAAGATGTAGTTGGTTGGGAGTCATGCCGGTAGTGTTGTGCACGCCGTTATTGTACAGGCTGGTGACGAGGGGTAATTTCTTGTCCTAGTCATCCTGACTTGGTTTAATGTAATGTCGAAGCAAGTGCTGCACTACCCGGTTCATCTGTTCAGCCTGACCATTTGACTCAGGGTGGTTCCCTGATGTCATTTGCAGTCGGGTACCCATCTGTTGGGCCGTACTTTGCCACAATTCACTAGTAAATCTAACATCCTGTGGCTTAGAATAGACTTAGGGAGACCAAAGGCACGTACCCAGTTGTCCATAAATAGCTTGATAACGTGGTCAGTCCTAGCTGTCTCTGGCATAGTGATTAGTCTAGCATACTTTGTGAATCTGTCCACAATGACAAAGATGTGTTGTTTACCACTCTTGCTGGTCACAAGGGTATCCATGAACTCCATGGATACACTTTGACGCGGACCAGCAGGGATGGGCAAGGGCTTGATCAACCCAAGCGGTGCCTGCTTTCGGGGTTTGTCATGCTCACAAACCTGGCAAGTTTCTACGTACTTTTTTGCTTCATATTTCTGCACTAAGTTTGCTGCCGTCTTTTTATAGCCAAAATGACCAGTCGCATCGTGAC